CATGAATCACCAGTCACTCAGGCCGAATTCCCAAGACAAGCAGGACCCCAGCAGGCCCCCCTCGACCTTGGTTGCAAATGGCATAAACTTTATGAAGCTATCCTGACTGGCCCCTCTGGAGTGCCCTGTCCATTACCTCAGCCTCTCTTCTCAATCAATCTTTCAGCCTCGATACTTACCCTTTAAATCAATTCAGCCCTGAGATCCATCTTGCTATTTCCCCAGCCCACTTTAAAACCCCATTGATGTTTATAAATCAATTGCATCCAGCTCTCTAGCAGCCTCTGTGCTCTGGGCTGGGCTGCAGAAGCACAAACACCCTGCAGGGCGCTGGCCCCAGGGAACCTGGCCCAGGGCAGCTGCTGGAGGGCCCAGCTCCTGGAGCTCGATCAGAAGGTCCTGAAAATGACCAAATATGGGCAGACCCTGCAATGAGGATTCACATGAGGTGGTTTAGTACAACAGTGCCCACCAGGGACACCAGTGGGGACAGGAGAGCTATGCCAAGCTGGGTACAAACCCCAACCCAAGGAAGTCCAGCCTGTACACCAGGGGATCTCTGCTCAACCAAGGGTTATAACAGAGAGGACATAAACTCCTAGGTGTGCCCAGTCTGTGCAGCAGGGGCTGAGGGAGGCAAAACAGGTTCCAGTGACCCATGGTGGTCTTCCAAGAGACCAGTTGGCCATCCTGAGACCCACCAGGGGGGCTGAGTCTCCAGTAAAGCCCAATGTCAGGCATGGGGCCCATAGACCAGGGAGCTTTTGAGGTGTCTGCCATGTGTTACCTGAGCAGTCTCTAAGCACAGTAGGAACCAGATCCTCCTGTCACTGCCCCATGTAAGTGATCCCTTGGCAACCTGGAGCCCCTCATTAGGATGGAGGGGGGACCAAGGGTACCAGAAAGGCTCAGCTAAAGAAGCACTTGTGTGCTCATTTGTAGCCTCTGGTCCTGGTCCCTGGTAGGGCTGCATGAGCCAAGGCCAAGCTTCACCCTGCACAGCTAATCCTTGTGTGCTGATAGGTGTGATAGTAGCCACTCCCGTGGCCTGGGAGTGACCAGTGGGCAGAGGCCCAGGTGTCTTTCTTGCTCCTTATTTGGTCCAGAACTTGCCTGGCACTTGTCAGACAAAAACTCCTCCTAAATGTTTGCCAAATTGGAGGTCTCTTGATTGCTATTTTAGATCTAAGGGGAGCCAGCTTTATTCCAAAAGAGCTCTTTTACATAAAATATTTCATTGTAATTTACAGAAGCAAAAGTCAGCCCCTTTATGAATGCAGTGTTATAGCACCAACCTCTCTTCGCCGGCTCATCCTCTGTTATGGGTGGGGCATGTTTTTGGCTGGCCTTACTCTGTACCAGTGATCTATGACAAGCATGCCATAGGTTTGTCACCACTCCTCTATCCTATTACCTGTGCCTGTCAAAAACACATCGTGATGCCTTTGCTTTCATATAGGTGTTTCTCTCCCCTTTAAATGGCTTTTTATTGCACATGTTCTGCAGGGTATGTCTTTCACTTTGGTGGTAGAATGTAAGTAGAGCTGTCCCTTGTTCTTGCACAATCCACATTCTCACGTTGAACCAACTGCAGAGAGAAAATATTTTAAAAATGGTTGCACCTACATTAAATGGGTACAGACAACATTTTTCTTACCATTATTTCCTGGGTCCGGGATTTAACTCAGCTGTTGTGCCACCTGCCTCGAAAGCACAAGGTCCTGAGAGTTCAATCCCCAGTGCAATGTCCCTTGTTCTTGCACAATCCACATTCTCACGTTGAACCAACTGCAGAGAGAAAATATTTTAAAAATGGTTGCACCTACATTAAATGGGTACAGACAACATTTTTCTTACCATTATTTCCTGGGTCCGGGATTTAACTCAGCTGTTGTGCCACCTGCCTCGAAAGCACAAGGTCCTGAGAGTTCAATCCCCAGTGCAAAAAAGGGCATACATAAGTTATACACAAATACTGTGTGCTCTTTTATGTAAGGGACTTGGGCATTCATGGATTATGGTGCTCAAAGGGAGTCCTGGACAATCCAGGTGTGACTAAAAGTGTTAAAGCAGGAAAGGGGAGCAGGAAGGGTGAAGAATACACTGTAAAGAATGTCCCCCAAGGACAGGGACACTGGAAAATGGCCTTTGAGGACAGTAAAGGGGTAAGTGTTAAGACTAGGGTTATCCCTGCTAATACCCAGGGAGGGCATGGCAGGCACAGAGCCTAGGCTCTGTGGAATGTCTCTCAGGCCAGGTGCATGTGCATGTATGGAGATGAGGTTTCTGCATCCCAGGTTCATTCATGTACAGGTGTGGAGATGGGGTGTCTTACAGCCCAGGTGCGTGTAATGAGCAGACTCTCCTGAAGCTTTTACCTCTTCCAGCAGTCCAGCTGGGAGGCTCATGGTTATACTGCATGGTGCTACTCAGTGAAATCATGGTGACTACCAGGCTGGGGAAGGGTGAATTTACTCTCAGTACCATAACTACTTTAGAGAAATCAGCAAGGTTATTAGGCCTGTGTTTAGAAACAGTGGCAGTGCCATGAAAGGGTGAAGTACTCAAGCCTTCTTGGAATAAAGTGAACTCAGATTCATAAACAGGCTGCACCTCTGGCCAGCAGTATAGCCTTGGGCAACTAGTGCACCTGGGCAGGGTCAGCAGCCCTGTGAACAGAGAAAATGCAGGAGTAAGTGCAATTGTTCAGGCAGAGCATTTCCTGGGCAGCAACACGGCTACTTGGGAGAATCCTGGGGAGGGTGGGAGGTAGGAGTCAAGCAGCCCAGGAGAGGAGGGTAAGGTTTGCATCGGCTCAGCAAAGGGAAGTGAAAGGAACAGACAGTGCAGAGAGCCTTCAGGTTTGGAAACTGAGCGAGGACTTCCAGGGAAGGATCTGCTGGCACAGCTCAAGTGTCTGTACACCCATCTGTCTGTACTGGTAGGCAGCGGAGCCCTGGATGGGAATGGAGATGGAGCAGGTCTGAGAGAGACCGAGGAGCCAGGACCAATCCCTAGGGTGCACCTGCAGAAGGTTTCCCCATAGAGGACAGCATCTGGGACTACAATGGAAGCGAGGGCTGCTGGGACAACCAGCAACAGCTGGGGTGGGGTGGGGTGGGGACGGAAGTCCCGGCCAGCTGCAGGCAGTGAGAGATGGGTGAGGAAGTGAGCAGGTGGGCTCCACAGAGCAAAGGGAAGAGGAGATTCCAGAAGGAGCAGGTGACCACCAGAGCCAGGTGCTGGATCTGATCAACACACTCTCAGGAGAGGACACCTCTCCAAAGGTGAGGGCTTGGTGGCCCTGGGGGCGAGGAAGATACATAGGTTGCCCTGTCTGTGCAGGCCAATCAGCAAGAGGGTGACAGTATCTGTCTGGCATCAGGCTGATGTGGGCCTAGAGGTGGAGATGCCATACTCTTTCTTCCCTCCTGTGCCCCCCTGCCCTGAGGTGGGCCCTCTAGTTATCCTTCAGGACCTCTGCAGAGGCCATTGAAAAAAGCTCAGCACCTTTGTTCCAGCATCTGCACCCTTCACCTGTCCCATGTGGCCTGTGGTCCTTTTATCCCTGTGTAGCTGAGGTTTGGAGTTTATTTCCTCCCAGCCTGAGACCTCCTCAGAGGACATCAGCCCAGGATTGTGCACTGCACCTGGAGGGTTTGGAATGAATGATGAATGAATGTCATGCTAGGTGGGTGAGGGCATGTTCCCCATCCTGGGTTGTGGGCTGGCTCTGGGCATGTTCACCAGACATCTATCTCCCCAACCCCACTCTGTACTGCAGCATTAGCTTGTCAGACCGTGTGGTTTAAAACCTGGGTTACATATTTTCAGAAGCAAATAAATTGATTAAAGGAAATGCTTCAGGCAGCAGTGGCGGTTATTAATAAGTCATAGCAAGGCTGCTTCTCCAATACCATGTGACAGAGAGTCTAGGAAGAAGTCTGTGCAGCTAGCCAAAAGCCTGGAGAATATGGGCACAGAGGAGAGTGTGCAGGGCCAATGGAGACCCACAGGTACAGAAGAGATCAGGTATCCACCATTCTTCAGGCTAGCTGTAGCTCCCCACTGAGAAGCAGCACGCCCTTTCCCTGTGAATTGGCTTCCTGCTTCCTGCAGTTGGGGGCAGCAGAGGGGGTTTGTGGCAGCGCAGGCTCTGAGGCTTTGTCTATAGCCCATAGGCCAGTCACATGGCCATACACACAGCTGGTTATCACACAAGCTTCTAGGTTTTGGTCCTCTGCCAGAGAGCTCAGCTTTCCTGGGGCAGCCACATTTGAAAGAAGGCATCTCCAGACACCAACCAGCTCCCTGCTGGGGGCTCAGCTGCTCTCTGGAGAGTCAGGCCACACTGATGAGTCCCTGAGATGCTGTTAAGCTCTTCCTATGCACTCACCCACCCTTCATGGAATGCTGTGGGGCTGCAGGACAAGCAGGTGCATTGCTAGTGGGCTAAGCCAGCTGCAACAGGCCACGCTGCAACCGAAGAACAGAGACAGATCCATGCATGTGGCCTGGAATGTTCCACGGTCCCCAGTGAGGAGCCCAGAGAGGACTGAACAATGATCTGTGAAGGTCAGAAGTTCTGAGGCCTTGCAGATTGCCTGAGAAGAGGGGAAAGAATTCAAGAATAGGCATGGAGGCCTGAGTCCACACGGAGAATCCTCCCTTCAAACCATCTGCTGCAGCCAGGTTACAAATTTCAAGTTGGAAATCATGGGCAGTTAAAGAATCAGAAGCCAGGCACTGGCGACTTAATTTTACCATTGATTCCAAACCCACTAAAGGAGTTTCAGAGATGTGCAAATGAACACCCAGAAAAGAAAGCTCATAAGCAAAGAGACACAGCTATCCCCTCTCTCTCATGATTTCCTCTTCTTGTCATGTACATCATTTCCATGTCCCCAGGGCCTGACATAATCCCCCGCCATGGAGAAAGATATGCCAGTGTGTGCAGAATCCAGCGCTGCACTGCCCTGGCCAGCTTGAGATCAGGGAGGAATAGAGTCGGGGCGGGGGAGAAAGGCTCCTCTTGAGGTTCTTTCCAGCGGGTCCCATCAGGCACAGCCCAACTCTCACAGGCAAGGCTCTCCTCTAAGTCTGCAGAGTTCATGGGGCAGAGATGCTGGACTGTGGACATGAACAGCTACCTTTCCAGGGCTGTGGAAAGATTTTGGGGGAGAGCAAGGCTTAAGGAGAGTGGAAAAAGCTCAGGGAGCCCCAGGGACCTTCAGATCTCGAGCCACTCCTCCCACCTGGGACAGCATGTTCAGTGGGCAGAGGGAGCCAGCAGAAGTCCCACGCAGAGTAGAAGCCTGTGCAAAGGATTCCACCTGATTAACCCAAAGGTGAGCAGGGACACCTGCTAAATTACAGAGTGGAGGGATTTGAATTTTGTTAGTCTGTGTTGGTGGCAATAGAGAAAATGTGAGTGACATTCCACTTTTAGAGGGCAGTGCACAACGGAACGTGCAGAGCCAGTGACCATAGAAAGGTCCACCCCTTGTGCCCACAAACTTGCTGTAGGAAGCCTGGCTCCCAGGAACAAAACGCACACAGACATTCACTGCACCATTTCCACTCTCCCACAGTCATCTCCATAGTTACCTGTCACTGGGCCCTCAGCCCCTGCTGGGTATGGCTGTCCCCCTCCTCCAGGTGACCCTGCAGAACAAGGTGTTGTCACCTTGTATGCTCCCTGCGTGCTGATCAGAAGCAGGCAGAGTTCGCAGAGCTGGCCATGATGCAAACCCAGGCCTCTGCCCAGAGCCTGTATTTCTCCACCAGGCCCTACAGTCTCTTGGCTGAGAGACAGCTAAGGTTGGAAAGAATGCAAACTCTCAGCAAGCAAGGAAGGAAGAAAGCGCTAACTCTGCATCCAGTCACTCAGAGTGGGGAGGAGAACGCGGAGCTGTCCAAAGGGGGGCTCTGCCACCGGTGCAGGGCTCCAGTGACTTCACAGACAGCTGTTTTCCTAGCAGGAGCTGTGCCATGCAGCGCCCCCTGGGCTGCTCTGATCTCCCTTCTTTGTGGTCTCTGGAAAACCCCACCACCCCCAGGGGCCACCAAGCCCCTTGAGAACACAGAAGCACAGATATAGCCACTTCCTATCTGGTCCCAAACAGCAGAGGCCTGGCTGGCATCAGAATGGTGACAGGTGGCAGAGGGGGAAATGGATGATATTCTAGACAGACTCACATGTCTGGCTTGTGGCACCTACCAAGCTGACACAGATACTTGGGTGCCAGAGAGGAGAGATGACAGCTCCAGTCGACCCTATGTGGTCAGAGTGCCAACACTCCTGAGCAGAATAGGTGGATGCCCCACTAAATCCAAGATCAGACCTCAGGGTGTAAGACTCAGGCAAAGCCAAACCCCTGGGCTAGGTGGTGTCAGGTTATAGTTATGCCCCATTATGATTCCATCTTAACCACAAAGGTCACCCGGAGTGTCCTGTGATGTCTGTCTGACCTCCGTGACTTCCATCCATTCCCTGCCCACACAAGTAGAACTGGGTGCACTTCCATCTCCTCCCATCCCAACCTCCATCTAGAGAGCTAAAAGACAGCCATGCAGATGACTACCAGCCATAGTCTACCTGTAGGGAAGAGAGTGACTGGAGAAGATTCAGGAGGAAGGTTCTGTGGTGGAGGTGTCATTTTGGGTCAGAACTTGAAGGATGTATAGGAGCTCAAAGCCAAGGGTCAAATGGGAGAGGAGATGGAAGAAAGGTCCATCTGGAAGGACAGAGTGGGTGGGGTGCAGGGCAAGCTTGGAGAACTTCACTTTACAAAGGGAGGAGCTTGTGCCTGCACACTCCTGCATGACTCACAGGGCCATACATTTCAATCAGCAGTCAGGACCCGTGCTCCGAGAACTCCAAGTCTGAAGGCATTTTGACTCAGAATTGTTCCAAAGTCCAAAGTCCAGGGTGGCCTCTCTTCGAGACCACAGCAGCAGCATCCTAATACTGGCACAAAAGGAGAAGAATGTGACTGGAGATGAAGGAGACAGATGCATGCGGAGGGGATAATTCAGGCATCAGTGACCTGTGTGGGCAGTGTTCCCCTGCAGAGTGCTGGGCAGTGCATTCAGCCAGGGAGAAGGGACTCCGCTGGGCTTAAGAGCACCTAGAAGGCCCTGTGATAGCACAAATCCTCTTGGCTCTTCCAGGGAGTCACCAGCAAATCATAAAGAGGAATGAAACCGGGAAAGCTGCAGGGAGGCAGTGGGGTTTGACTCCTCCCAAGGAGGGGCTTCACTGGAAGGATACATGCATGCCTGGGGGCATGGATGAGTAAATTTGGGGAATCTGACACCTCGGGCCCTGGGGACTCCAGGTAGTAGCCACGGGCTGGTGCTACTCAGGGATCCGGCGGCGTGCTTGTGTCTTGCTGGCCCAGGTTCCCAAGACTAGGTGCTAGTGTGGCTGGGATGCCAGGACAGGGTTGGGACTGGCCATGGACATGCCAGTCTCACGGTGTGTCTTCTCCTTTCCAGCCCGCTCCAAGAGCCTGGTCATGGCAGAGCAGAGCCGGGGCTCTGGGCAGCCACTGGGCCCTCGCAGGCCAGGCCCCGTGCTGAAGGCTGGCTGGCTGCGGAAGCAGCGGGGCATCATGAAGAACTGGCAGCAGCGCTGGTTTGTGTTGTGTGGGGATCAGCTCTTCTACTACAAGGACAAAGATGAGACCAAGCCTCAGGTGAAGAGCGCGTGTCCTGTGTCCTGTGGGTGTCAAGCCGGGGGTCCAGGGAGGGTTTGCTATACCCAGGTGGGGGAGGCACAGAGACCTCGACACCCACATTTTGTTCTTATCCCCAAGATCCTGGCGTCTCAGCTTGTTATACGAAACACATCCACAGCTCCTGTGAGGAGACTTTTGTGATGTGGATGGAGGGCTCCCTCAGCTTAAGGATAGCACTCCCCGCTCCCCTTGTCCTTTCCAGCCCATTTCCTGACTCCATCCCATCACCCAGGAAACCGGGTACTGGGCAAATCTAACCTTAGAGGCTGACTTGAAGCCTTGTGATCGGTGCCTCTACCTTGCAGGGCTGTTTCCCGCCAGCACTGGGAACCCCACTCCAGGCACAGGGTGTCCACCTTTCCACCCAAACTGTGCTGAATTCACCACTAGTTTCCTCCACCACTCAAGGGCCCATCACAGCTGGACTGTGTGACCAAGAGCTCAGTCTGCTCCCATCCAAGACAGTGGGGCTGAGGGAATGGGGCAACCCCATTCTTGGGTCAGGGAGCAAGGGTCTGGCATCCATGGATTCAACCACTTTGGATCAAAAATATTTAAGAAGAAATATTGTGTCTCTAGTGAATGTGGGCAGATTGTTTTCTTGTCATTCTCCCTTAAGCATCACAGTCTAACTCTGTTTATAAGCTCATCAGGTGTCGTAAACAATTAGGGATGATAGAAAGTAACCAGGAGGTTAGAAGCAAGTGCCGCACCATTTTATATAAGGGACTTGAGGAGCCATGAACCTCAGTACTCACAGAGGTCCCAGGACCAATTCCTGCAGATGGCAAGGGACGTCTGCTGTCATCCCGTGGGGAAGGTGAGGAAGGGATATTAAACGGCACTTCCCAAGTGGTGCTCCTGGTCAGGAGCTGTGCACATCCCAGCAGCTCCCACAGCATGGGGCTGGGAGAGGGGTGCAGAAGCATCTGAGTGCAGGACAGAGAGGCTGAGTTCACAGTAAAAAGTGGCTCTGACTTCTCTTTCATCTTGCTGAGTATGCCAAGGATGGAGTATCCCTGTGGGTGAGTGTGTCTTTGCTCTTCCCCAATACTTCCTGGCCTCATTGTAAATGAAAAGCAGATTTGCAGGGAGGGAGCAGCCCGATTCCATAGCACAGTGGGAGCTAGAATCACCTAAGTTAATAATTCTGCCTTCCCAGTATTTATTCCAGTGGTTGCCCTTATTTATGGGAAGTGATTCAGGATTTTGCTCACAGCTATGTTATCCAGCTTGCCTTTCTAAAGCATATCTGCTTTCAAACAAAGTATTGCACTGCAATGTGAGTGGGCTTCATGCTACTGAACCAAACTATACACTTAAAGAATGGTTAGTGTGGTGAGCTTGGACATGATGGTGCACATCTCTCATGCCAGCACTCTGGGAGACTGAGGCAGGTGGATCAAAAGTTCACACCCAGCCTGGGGATTTTGACATCCTGTCTCGAAATAAAAAAGGATAGGGATATAGCTCAGTGCATAAGCCCTGGGTTCAAACTTCATGGTAGATAGCTTTTATTGCAATAAAAATAAATAAATCAAGGAAAACTGTCAAACAAATAACAGCACAAATGAAAGATGGACAGAACAAAAATCATGCGTTTGGACTTAAAATTAAGAAGATCAAAGTGGATCTTAAGAAGACAGGGAAACCCTGATCTTTCCTATCCTGCCTCCTGAAGAAGAAAAACTATGCCCAGACCAGTAAGAGGGAGATAGGAGCTTTGGAGCCAGATAGATCTGAATGTGTCAAAATTAGATCTCACATGCTACCTCTACTGGATGCTTAACCTGAGCTCCCTCAGCCCCCAGCCCTGCCTATGCCCCTGAACATACATACTGTCTTTCTTGTGGCCTCTTAGACCCTTTATCCATGGCTTGGCTTTCTGGGTTGACTGATCTGTCACTCTGATGGCCGTGACCAAAACTGCCAGGATCCCCAGCCATGCCTGCAGCCCTCAGACCCAACCCAGGCCATCCCAGGCATTCGTGGCCCAAAGGTACATTGGATCTGTAAAGGAGCAGCCCTAGCCCAGAAGGCTACTCCTGTGTTACTCTGGGCCTGGATGGCACTGCCAAAGCCTTGGGGGGATGTTAACCCCACCCCCTCCACAGAGCCAGCCTCCAGTGGCAGCCCCGTGCCCCATTCCCCAATCTCAAAGCAACAGTGGGTTCACCTGGACTCATTTGGCCTCCACAGTGTACAAGTGCTCCCACAAATTTCTGTTTAATTGCATGAACTCCATATAATTGCAGTGTCTGCTTCCTGGAAAAATATGCCCTGCTCACTGTCCCAGTGACAGCATGGACTGGCGGTCAGCGCCCTCCTGTCAGACAGCCGCAGCAGCTGCTGCCACTGTCAGGAGGAGGGACAGCGGGCGCCTATGATGCTGCCCAGACCTGGAAGTCACGATAAGCATCACTCAGCCCACATCCTTTGTTCTCCACCAAAGCTTTTGCTTTTCTCTATCCTTTCACAGGGGTCATGGGTTCAGGCCTGGCAGAAAGCACAGTCACACGCAGAAGTGGCTGGCACAAGTTCAGATATAAAAATCTAAAAGCATGGGCTGGGATGTAGGTCAGTGGCCCCATGCCTGCCTGGCAAGTTATAAGGTCCTGAGTTCAATTCCTAGAACCAAAAGAAAAAAAATCTGAAAGCTTGACCTCTTCCCCCATGTCCCCCAGCACATGTCCCTGTGTTTCCAGCAGATGGTTTCATAGTAAAGGATTCCACAGCTAGTAAAGGATTCCACATCTTAGTGGCTTTGGTTTCTGCTCAAAATGTTTGCTCGAGCTATGGGAACTCCCACCACCCCACCAAGTGCTTTGCTGACTAGCCTGGCCTATTCCATGTCTTAATTTTAATCATCTCAGTCCCTGTGGCTTTCTTGGCTCAGAATCGAAATGGGAAGTGTAACCTCCAAAACATCAGAATTCAAAAAATGCAACAAATTGAGTGTGATCAACCCAACAAATGGTAAGAGAATGGGGAGAATTAAGAATCAAGAGAGAAATGCAAAGAGGGAACAAACAAATAAGATGAAATGCATAGCCTCATAACAAATGTGGTCTACGTGTGGTGGTGCATACTCGCAATGCCGGCACTCCAGGAAGCTGAGGCAGGAGAATTGCAAGTTTGAGCTCAGCCTAGAGATCTTAGCAATTAGCCAGACTCAAAATAAAAAATAAAAGAATGGAGTGAGCTGGGTATGTAGCTCCTTGAGTAAGCCCTGGGTTCAGAACCTAGTGCAAAAAACAAAGAGTAATCTATTTCTTAAAAGAAATTGGATGTAAATAAGGGGAAAACAGACAAAAATATTGAAAAGCCAGGAATGAATAAAGGATAGACCAGTTAGTTAATGAGAGCAAAAAGAAAGCAGACTGAGCAACATCCAATAAAATAGGATTCAAGGTGGTCACAGCCAGAAAGGATGAAGAACTATAGCTCTTCAGAAAAATGACAGTCTACTGAGAAAACAGCAGCCGTGAGCTTTTACACTCCTAACGACGTAGCTTTGAAGAATGTACAAAGATACTCTCACCACCCTCTCCCCTTGTTAGTTTTGTTAGTTTTGGAAGGAGTTGCCTTGTTTTGCTGCCAGCCTAAGAATCATCCCCAAGGCCTTGCACATGCTGAGCAAGTACTCTACCTCTGAGTCACAGCCCAGCACCTTTCTTTTCCTCCCTCAAAGCAAACACTTTTCAAAAAAGCGAAATCAGAGGGGTACATTCACTGACAATAGAATAAAAGAAAAGAAAGACAGAAATTATTAACAAAATCATATCTGGGAAGGTGATGCATGACAGAGAAAGCAAGGTCTAGGCACATAGAACCCAAATGCACGCACGTCGTATTTCCTTCCTAGTCGGTGAGAAAAATCAAAACTCAGATTCAATTTTTAAAATTTTTATTTTTAGTAGTACTTGTTTGCAGTACATAATGATTTCATTTATTGTGGGGAGTCGGTACATATACATAACATGGCTTAATTCTTTCTATGTCCTTTCCCCTTCCCTCCTTCCCCCTTCCCTCCATCTCTTGGTCCCCTTCTCATTTGCAAGAGATCTGTGTCCCTGTTTCCTGTTGTCTTTTACTTTGCTCTTTAAAGATCACATCTGGCTCTCCTACATCGTCCAACTTCAAGAAATAGCACTAAAGGGTTGTTTTAAAGGTGTAAATGCACCTACCTAGACAAAAAGAAGAGCAGTGGCAGCAGCCTTCTGAGTTCTGGGAAGCAGATACGTGAGAGGTCGCTGATTTATTCAGCTGATTGAAAGCACTGAACTCACTCCAAGCCAGCCCTGAGGAGCACACTGAAGCTGCCAGGTTATCAGAAAGAGCTACCACAGGAGTTGGTAAGGCCAGAGTACTCTGGAAATAACAAGAGAACCCGTTGAAAGTCAATTTAAAAGTCATTCAATCTCACATATTTTTTTTTCTCCCCTCGTCGAGTTTATTGATACATTTTAGGTACACAGTACAGTTACATTCATCATTGGGACCTTGTACCTTTACATGACAGGTCTTGATTCTCAGTTTTTCCCCTTGTCCATGCCCTCCCTTCACCCAATCTCAGATATTCTAAATAACCTTATACCAGGAAGTGACTACCCCCAACACACACCCACCCACACACACACACACACACACACACAACACTCAGGCCAAAAAATGGATTCAGTCCCTGTGAAGAGTAAGAGAGAAGCATTTTGGACTGAGGCCAGCCATCCAGTTCTTAGTGAGAGTCCCACCCTCAAAACAGGAGGGTTAGATAAGGATTAATGTACAAGACCAGTCACTTAGCCCCCAGTATTCATCCCACATTGTGCTCTGAGGCCCCAGCAATCAGTAGAAGCTTCAGGGAAAAAAAACAGAAGAATTTTCAGGGATCACCCATGAAATGGCCCAGGAGGACCCTCCTCCATATACCCACCAGGGAAACACTTTCCTCCCCCACG